ACCTGACTTCTTATTACAGTTCAAGTAAATGAACACACATTTTGTCACAACCATCTCAGTTCAGAATTCCTACTCTAGGTAGCTAGCAGAAGGACAGGTAAAGCACGAATCCTTGCCAGGAGTTCACTAATTGGACTAAATAATGCGTCCCTGCCCTGCCTTTAATATTTCCCACTTTATTGATGTTCTCTCTCAGCCCCGAAGCTCTCCTGCAGGTGAAAATGAGTGACACCAGCTGGGGTGAGTCACGAAGGCATTGAACAAAAACGTTTTTCCTCCCTCTTCATAGAGCGTATTTCAGAGCCCAGCACCAGCCTGGCATATTCCATCGTGAACCCCACACTTTGTCCCTGATAGAAACACATGTAAGACGAGGAAGGACACTGACGCCTTACTTTGGCTTCATTGTGTCAAGAATAACGGAGGCTTCGTTAACACAACTCCAAAATTTGACTTGATTGGCACCCTGGAAGCCGTATGCTGCAAGCCAGTGTGCCATAGTAAGACTCTGGGAAGTGAGAGGCGTGTCCATGTGTGTAAAGTCTATATATGGCCCAGCCAGCATGGCTCAGTGGTTGAGCGTCAACCTATGAACCAGGAGGTCATGGTTCGATTCCCAGTCAGGGCACGTGCCCATGTTGCAGGCTCGATCCCCAGCAGGGGGCCTGCAGGAGGCAGCCGATCAATGACTCTCATCATTGGTGTTTCTATCTCTCTCAAATTAATAAAAATAAAAGAAAGTCTTATATGGAAGCTGTTGGAGTTCTAGAAAGTAATGCCCTTAGAACAGTCTGCCTGTCTCCCCATTGACATGTTCCCGTGTAGTCTTCATACCCCAGCATGCGCCGCTTGTTGGAGGACTCCTGGACCAGTGACCTCCACGGGCACTTGAACTCTGAGATTCTGCGATGTTATGATTATTGAGGCTTTTTCATTACGGGGAAGAAAAAAACAATTATTATAACTACTAACTGCCCTACTCAAGCACATCCAATCAACCTTGGTTCTTTGTTTTTTTAACAAATGAAAGGACCATCTTTCTGAAAAAGGGCCTCCTGTTAAACTAGCTGTGGGGATAATTGGGAGAGTAGATACACGTATTGATAACAGTGGGCACACGTATTTCAGTGAGAAAGACTTTGAACCTCCAAAGCAGTAGCTGGAGAAAGGAACAAAGCAACACCTTTGAAACTCTGCAAGTCAGAACTTGATTACTGTTTTCAAAGCATGATGTTTGGGAGGGAAATTCATGGTTAACACCAGGTTATGCTTCGCACCTCTCAAAGCGCAGGTATGCTGCTAACACCGCCAAAAACCACTTATAGCAGCAACAGACAGTAACACCAGAGAGTAGATTAAATCACATTAGCTCTAAATAATAACAATAGAATTGTTAGTAACAAGTAAGTGCAATGATAGCCTTAGAACTGTATGAACTTGATGAATGTGTCCAAATACAAACTTTCCATATTTAATTATGATATGTGTGCTAACAGATCTTAGTGGGAAAAGAGACTAATACTCTATTTAGTATTTTAAAAAATTTTCATGTGTAAGTCCACCAGAAAACTAAACTTATTAGGAATCTCTTACAAGGTATAGCACAAAGAATATGTTGTTTCAGTATCCATGGTAGTTTTTATTTCACTAGAACTGGTCGTTTCCTCCCCATAAAAATAAGTATAACTTTATGTCCTGAAACTGAAAGCTAAGCAGATTATTTTAGTTTGGTTCAATGGGTTAGTGTGTCGGATTTTATATGAAATAGACAAATGTAAAACTTAGTAATTTAAAATAATATTTTTGTCTTAATGAAAAGCAAAGATTATACTTTGATTATAGACAACGTGCATAGTTTTGGGTTATGCACACCTTGATTTGACTCTCGACTCTACCACTCACTTTGACCACCTAATTTACTTCTCTGAGCCTTAATTTGCTCATCTCAAAATAAGGTCAACCTCTTAGAATTTTTTTGAAATTTAAAACAGATAATATAGGTGAAACCCTCTGGTTCTTGATAAGGTTTTATTTCTCTTCTCCCTCCTCAATCTTTTTAATAGAAGCTAATTTATGACAAATGTAGGTGCCCGGGCAGAAGCATGTCAAATGAGAAGCAGAAACTGGGCTCAGATATTTCAGAATCTCTGTGAATAAAGAAAGATGTCTAGTTAGATAGGAAGCGATCATCTCTGGGCGGTGGCATTATATTTTTTATCTTTTTATCTAATTATATGTTCTAATTGCGCTAACATGAATATGTATAACTATTGTAAAAGAAATATTTAAAATTTTAATGAGTAATGCATAATTTATCATCTTTGAGTTGATACATGAAAAATTATGGTTGCTATAACCCAATTTTTACTCTTAATCCCTAGAGCATTTTATATGACTAAATTAGTTCAAGATAAATAGGCCTGATAGCTAAAGAATTGTTCATTGCCATGATTATGGACATCAAGGAAAAAAAGAGAGGGCGCGAAGTTGTAAATAATGTATTTTTATTAAACTTTCTTGGACTACCCCCTCCTGCCTCGACCTGGTTTTCAGCAGCTGCATCCTAGCTCCTCTCTCCACTCCCACCCAGGCTTCCCCCTGCTGACCTTTAATGTCCCTGAAGCAGCGACTTCATTTCAGCTTCAGCCTGGTCAGAACCTTTCCTGAGTCTCCATTTCGCTCTCGCTCTCCTTCACAGCTGATAGTCCGGGACACAGTAGTCCAGGTAGAAAACAGTCCCAACATTTACTGGTAATATGCTCTTCCCGAAACTGCACATTCGTCTACCTGTGTGGATTCATTGTGCCCCACGTTAGACCCTAATGCTGTAAACTGGGTACCACCATGCTCATCAGTGATCCCAAGGCGTGTCCCTTAGTAATCCTGAATTCTGTTTCTCCTGATTACACACACACACTAACAAGAAAGTGTCTTTGTGGCATTGAAATACAATTTACTCCTATTAAATCTACTTTAAGTGTCCCTTTTTAAAACATGCCATACCTTACGTACATAGTAATATAATGCTAGTAACTGCATCTTCAGGAAAAGGGGTAAAATAGCACTCTTGGAGAGAGTTGAAAATACAAAAAACAAATTATTAATATGAAACATAAGGACCAAATTCTTGAACCTGGCATTCAAGGCCCTTACAAACTAATGTCATTTTCCTTTCCAACCTTCTTTCCCATTCCTCCCATGACAAACCCATTGATGCCTTCCACTTACTCAGGACCTCCCGAGAACCCAGCATTCCGTATAATATCCTCACAGTCTTCCTGTGATTGCATTACTGTCCCCATTTTACAGATGGGATTTAGCAGCTTCCTTCCGGTCACACCGCTAGTTAGTGAGAGAGCAGGGATTCAAACCCAGGTTTGTCTGACTCCAGAACCAGTTTTCCTAACTTCCTTTCCAGCCACGTGGATCTCTGTGCTCAGCGTTGTCCTAACACGTGCCATGTTTCTGGTTGTGATGTTCACCCCAACTCGGAAACCTTGTCCTACATGACCTTCGAAGTTCACCTAAAACTTAACCCACCTGTGCAGTCTCTCAGCCTCCAGCCTACAGTGCGGTCGCCTGCCTCTGACCCTTAATCATGTTACTTTAGATTGTCATTTACTTATCAGTTGGTAGGTGCCGTCTTCCCAGCCAGGTAACTAATTGGTTAATGGCAGGAGCCATGGATGCCAGAGTAGACAAACTCTTAAGATTCCACTCTTGGGCTGTGTTTTCTCCTGTCACCTGCAGTTCTGTGTCCCTAGTAGAAACTCAGAGAGGAACTGGGTGTTACAGCAATAGCTCTTCAAGAATAGTCAGAGGACACTCCAAGGTCATTAAGCTAAGACCCTTCACAACTCTCATTTGAGATAAAGTCCTCTAAATTTCAAATTAACAGTTTCTCTGGAGGCTATTCTATAATAGATATTGTGTGATATTCTATAATATCTAAAATAATCATCAGGTTAATGTTTAAAAAAAGACAAACTTAGTAGTAAGTTCGTTTTGTGACTTTGAAAAGACTGAATTAATAGAGGATCACTTGCCCAGTTTCATTCTGTTCCTTGGCCTTCATGGACCCTTTCTGAAGGAGAGACAATGTGGTTTTACTTCCATTTAAGGAAAATTACAAAACAGCCTCTGTCACCAACCCCCTCAGAATAACTGAGAATGAACCTTAGCAAAGAGGGAAAGGGGGGGCACCATGAAGGAGGACTCGGATCTGTTTCCTCAAGCCCGGCCTGGCAGAGGAGGGGAGATGGTCTCCAGGAGGTTGCAGGGATTATCGATTCAGAAAGCTAAGAGTCTGTTCCTAGAGTTGAAGTTCACTGAGGGGTAATTCAAGTGTGCCTCCTAAGGCTGAAAGTGAATTTGAGGTGAGGGTCGAAAGAGAGAGGAAAAGTTGTAGCAGCCTGCATCAAAAACTTTGTAAGACTTTAAATTTAGCCTTCTTCCTTCCTTCCCTTCCCCACGGTCTTCCCACCGCTCCTTGTCTGTTTCCCTCCCAGCATCCGATTTTTCATTCAGCCTAATAAATAGTTTAGAGGGAACTTCTTGAATCGGTGCCATTGATTGGTTCTGCTGTTTGTTTAAGGATTGATGTGAAAATCTCCATAATCCATTCCGCCTTAATTTACACTTCAGTATGTTTAGAATGACTGATAACTACCCAACTTAATCTCTCCTGAGAAATAACAAGACATATCATTTGCAAGATAATTATGTTTTAAGTGCTCAAGAAAAACTGTAGGTGTGGAAACAGTTTCAGTAATCAGCATACCTTGGGGGAAATCAAGGATTTCAACTTAAATATCTTAAAGACTGTGTGAGTTGAACTCACAATATCTAACAAAAAAAGCATTTAAAGTGTAAATGGTATGAGAGTATCTTGTTTATGAGAAGATGTCTGAGCATTTGCTGAAACAACTTTTTGAAAGGAAGGCTGTTTTGTTTGTTTTTCGTTTTAATGTCTTGTTCTTCGATGGATCTCTTACATTCAGGAAAATTGGGTGGATTTACGCAAGAAAATAACACCATAGATTCCGGAGAACTTGATATTGGCCGACGAGCAGTTCAGGAGGTTCCTCCTGGGGTCTTCTGGAGATCACAGCTCTTCATTGACCAGCCACAGTTTCTTAAATTCAATATCTCCCTTCAGAAGGACGCATTGATCGGAGTGTATGGCCGGAAAGGCTTACCACCGTCCCACACGCAGGTAAGAGTCGGTTCGCCATCCACGGAGTGAAAACGCTCGTGTGCGTTTTTAAAGTTATTCTGTTTCTGAAGTTCAGCTGTTTAACTGTTGGATCACTTTTGTATCGATCTTTCACAGTGAGAAGAATTTCGAACGTAGGGTTACACTTCTCTTGAGGCTTTTGAATTAGTAGGAAGAACAGCAATTTCTTCCTGGCTTGCTTTATCCGTTATTGATTGATTAAAATGTACCTAAATTTGTGAGTAACATAATGAATATCGAACATCAGCTGAGCACCTAGTGAAACACCATGCATGGGTTTTCCAAGTGTTTTACAAAGATTTCTGTGGTAATTTCAGGTGATCGCATGCCTTTCATGTAATCGATGCATAACATTTTCATCTCAAACACATATTCATTTGATGGAAAATGTATTTTTTTTATTTTATTTTTGCTTTATGCCAGATTGGCTCTTAGTAAAGAAATTATTGGGACATAAACATAAATGTGATAATATGAACTTCATCAACTCAAGCCATGATTTCTCATCTAAAAATGATGAACAGTGAAATAAAGAGGCAGAAGAGCTTTATACTGACCAAGGATGATCACATGAGTGTGGTGCTCAGAACCATTCAGACGTTCTTATATCATAGGCTCAGTCACTTCAAAGTCAGTTTTCTTGCATGAAGATCACTTCTCAATAATAGTCGCAGATAGAGAGGCACTATCTATTATTCCACAGGCTCTTCCTGCCCTGGCCAGTGTGGCTCAGTTGGCTGAGCATGCTCCATACACATAGAGGTCTCCTGTCCAATTCCAGGTTAGGGCACGTGCCCTGGTCTCCAGTTGGATCGCTCCCCCATCAGTGTCTCTCTCTCTCTCCCTCCCTCTCCTTCCCCTTTCTCTCTAAAAATTCAATAAAAACATATTTTAAAAATAATAATTCCACAGGCTTTTTCATAACCTAATATTGGGTTATGGTGTGTAAATGGGAAATTGTGGTTTAAAGGAAGTCCCATTGTGTCTAAGAGAAATTATTTGAATTATTTACCATAAAATGAGAGCTCAGACTTTTCCCAAGGTCAACTATTATGTTAGTAAATACAGGAATTCCAAAAATGTAGTAGATAGTTAATTTAAATTGACGAATGAACTTAAAGTTATACTTGATAATCAGTTTTGTTATCCATGGAATTTCATGCGGATTTTAGTTTTGATTTATACAATGAAGACTGGAAGGTTTTCATATATGTTTTATATTACGTAATTTTGTGAGAAATGCTTTTCTGTAACAGAAATTTAAAATAAGAAATTCTAAAGAGAAATCGATCATATACTAATAAAAACTACATATTTAAAAGAAGGTGAGCAAGAAAATGTGAACAGGCTTTCTCTAATGTCGTGGGTCAGGGGAAATGTCATAAACACATAAATCACATTGTTGTAAAATTCTTGAATATCACCCTTTGATGTCTTCATTTTTCTGATTTAACATTTTTTAAATCTAGCGTTCAACTGTTCAGTTATACTTGACTCCATTTTACGTCGTAGGCAACACGAACTAGGATGTATTAACCAGATTTTCTTTCATGGAAGGGGCCTCTGTAACTTCAACTGTAACAGATAGATTGAATTTATAGCAGTAGCCCAGTGAAATAGAAAAATATATATTTTATTCATTGGAACCACATACATGATTAAGTTATTTTTGTGTAACTCAAGACACGTACCTGTAAGCAAGTAGCACAACCTATAAGTGCCAAAAATAATTTCAGAAAAAAAAAACATTTTCTATGTGTTGTGCACATCAAAGGTTTATTTAAAGATTTAGGGTTGACTTGTTGGGAGTTACATACACCCTATAAGATTAGAGAAATAAAAGGTGCAGTTTCAGGTTTTTTCATAATTCTTCTGGTATTTAAACACAACGTACGTGATGTCTACTTCTCTTTGCCACCACAGTATATGGGCTTAAGTAGGGTACACATTTTCTTAAGCACCACGGTTATTAGAGTTTCTTTCGCTGGTTTATTCTAGATCCACAGAGCAAACACCTGTCTCTGAGTTCAGTGTTTAATCATGAAATATGCTCTAAAGCAGCCCAAATTGAACATTTCTCTGTTTTCTTGGGAACATTAAATCAATCAACCTGAAATAATTAAAATTGGCCAGCCATTCAGATAGTCACTTGAGTTTTGAAAAGTCTTTGTGACCCTTTATAAAATGTCCATTTGATTGTTGCCAAGGAACCATTGGCTTCCTTCTGCATGATGTCCAATCCGTTCTCCTGGACAGTTAGGAGTCTACGGGGACAGATTACCGCCCGACAGTTAATCGTGTAATGTATCGTTTAAGTGCATTTGCATGAGGCTGTTTTAGAATGGGAGCTGGAAACCTGGGTTCTAAGCACACACCTCTACCCACTTCTTGACACTGTGACCTTGGACAAATCCCTTAAGTTCTCTGCGCCTTGGTGTCTACCTGTAAAATGAAAGGATTAGATCAGATGATCTGTAAAATGTCTTCTTCCTCTATTCTGGAGATTTACAGGGAGACTATGCCACCAAAAATAAGTTGATTTGAGAACGCGGTTAAGTATTCATAGGTTCTGAGGTAAGCGTATGGATAGCCTGTTCAGAATGAACCACCAAGGTCCCTTTATCAATTATAAGCATGGTCTGCATGTTAGCTCCCCCAAAGTGGTGAAACTGAATTGTGTCCTAGAAATAGCATAAGATCTAAGACTCACCCACAGAAAAAAACCCGTGTCTCTGTCTTCTGAGCAGGTACTGCAGAGCAAACCTCGGGTCACTCGAGTTGGCCCATAAGTGATTACGCCCTAAGAACAAAGGTTGTTAAATATTCCTATTCCATATAATTGATTTACTTTCTATAGAGGTGGTGTTAGCATTGAGTAGGGGACTTGTCTTTACGTAGGTGAATAAGCCTCCTGAAGTCATATGTGAAATGCCCCTAGAGTAGAGCCTAGAACTGGGCAGAAGCTCAACACCTGTCAGCTACTCCCAGCAGCACCACCACACTCCCCACTCCTGCCTTATCCTGTTGTTCACAGTGTGATGCAAGTGGTGTTTTCTGTGATAAAAGGGTTGAAACACCAGTTAAAACTCAAAATTTTCTCCCTTTCAATTTTTCATTTGTTGTAGTTAATGTTAGCAGACAGAATGTTTCTATGCAGTGGGCCCATGAGAAGGAAGCCTTTTCTGTCTCTGCCAGGCTAACCCAAATATTCCAATCTGATGAGAAATGAATGGCCTATTTGAGATACAAGCACCTTTCAAAAGCGCTGCGTTCATTTTCCTCTGATAATTTTTGAGTACAATTCCGATGAAATTTTTGCAGGTCAAGTAGCCACACTAGTTACTATGTTCATCCTTGTTAAGATATAAGTACAAAAAGATTTTTGAATGATAATTAACTTATAGCATTTTTATATATTTCTCACAGTTAAATGATGTAGGTATACTACACAGAAAAAAATGCTTTTATATTTAAATAAAAACTAAGTCAGAAACTGAATTAGATATTCTAAATGCTGTTCAATAGCAACAGTACAGGTGGTCAGTTAACTGTGACTGTCAGAATCCCAACAACTGATTTTATTCCTTGATTGTTATAAGGGATTCATATAATCACCTTTTTAAAAAATAGAACCCTGATGAAATCCCGTTCAAGGAGTAGCTCTGAAAGTAGAATATTAATAGTTTGCAGGTATAGTACTATAACATTAATGACTAATATGTATAGTACTGGAGTGTGTTACACCATAAGCATGAGCCTCAGGATTAAAATGAAACTAGGCAAGAGTCTCTAGAAACTCAGTCACTCTACATTTAAGAAAATCACTCTGCTTTCAAGAAAGTTATCTAACAAGTTTATTAAAACCATCTTGGGAAGTCTTTGCAATGCCTTCCAAATTCACTGCGTTATCCCTGGTTACAAATTGTTACCCCACTGTTAACAGTCACATTCCATACTTTTCATTGCCTTTAAATTCTCCAGTTAAATTCTAGCTGATTCTAGTGATTAATCTCACTCAGAAATTAAGTTTAATGAAGATTGGCATCATAATAATCGGGCATGCTTCTGTTACCGCTGTCCCCTCAGAAGCCCACCGTTGTTTCATGTTTTTGACTTCTGATGAAAGATGTAAAAGCATCTCGTTATACGTTTTTAATCTCACCATAACCACATAAAAACCCACGGGTCTCTCTATGGTGCTTGGGATGGTCATATTAGGTCGCAGAGAGGGGTGGAGTGTGGAAGGCACAGCCCGAGCTCTGGCAAAGGGCACTTGAGTTCACAGCCCAGCTCCACCGCTGACCAGGTGTGTGACCTTGCCCAGGCTCTTGAAGTTTCCGTTTCCTTCCTCGGTAAGCTGTAAATATTAATGCCTTCTTAGAAGGGCTGCTGGGAGGGCTATAAACAACCCTGCACAGAGAAAGTACTCAAAAGAGTGGTTGTGACTATGTGGGCGTTAACGGGCACACCCTGAGGTTGCCTGCCGGCCTAGGAACATGAGGCTGCTGGGTTTGGAATGCTACAGACTGTGTTTGTCTCCCCAAACTGCCCACTCTCATCAAGGTGTTTATCAGCCAAATGAAATCAATAAATTTGGAAACCATGGTGCCCCATAAGGAAAACCGTGCACTTTGCTCAAAAGTGTGCAGTTTCGGCAGTGAGTGTGTACAGTAGGTAGTTTTCATGTCACTCTTAAGTGCTGTGCACAGAGCACTTGTCAACCAAGACTTTTTTCCTAATATTGTATTAATTAGAGCAAAGGAGAAACGTTTGAGGAAAAGAGAGAAGCAGCCACGATCTTAAAGTTTCCGACCACTAAACCGTTTTGCTTGTCCCTGTCTTCAGTACGACTTTGTCGAGCTCCTGGATGGCAGCAGGTTGATCGCCAGAGAGCGGAACCTCCTGGAGGCCGAAAGAGCCGGGCGGCAGGCGCGGTCCGTCAGTCTCCACGAGGCCGGCTTCATCCAGTACTTGGACTCCGGCATCTGGCACCTGGCTTTCTACAACGACGGGAAGAATGCCGAGCAGGTGTCTTTCAACACCATTGTCATAGGTAAGAAGGGCCGCAGGGCACCTTTCCCAGGCGAGAGCCTCAACGCCAGTGTCGGATAGAAACGCAGTATTGGGGAGGAATTGAGATTCCTAGGGTGCGAAAGCCTGGGGTGACATGTGAAAAGTGTTTTTGAATTGTCCATTTGTGAACGTGACAAACCATTGGGCACCAGAGGAAAAAAGGGTTTTGAAGTATGTGGAGGAGTTTGGCATCACAAAAACCGCCAAGAACACGTGCCGGTGAATGGCAGTGCCTTCACTGTTTGAAAACTCTAGGATCGCCCGGCTGGGAGAGGCTCAGTGGTTGAGCGTAGACCTGGGATCCAGGCGATCGGGGTTCGATTCCCGGTCAGGGCACATGCCCCGGTTGTGGGCTCGATCAATGACTCTCTCATCATTGATGTTTCTCTCTCTCTCTCTCCCTCTCCTTTCCTCTCTCTGAAATCAATAAAGATATATTTTTTAAAAAAAAGAAAAGAAAACTCTAGGATCACGCAGCCTTCTGTTTTTAAATATGTTTTTATTGATTTCAGAGAGGGGAAGGGAGAGGGAGAGAGAGGGAGAAACATCAGTGATGAGAGAGTCATTGATCGGCTGCCTCCTGCGCAAGCCCCCCACGGGGGATGGAGCCTGAAACCGGCGCATGTGCCCTGACGGGGAATCGAACCTGCCAGCTCTTGGTGCATGGGACAGTGCTCCACCAGCTGAGCCACACTGGCTGGGCATGCCGCCTGTTTCGGTCGTGCGTCCTTCAGCATGCAGCTAAAATGATCACAGAGCCACAGGTCCCCTTGGGCAGGCGGCAGGGGACGCAATAAGCATTTCTCCCTTCCCTCTTCTTCAGAGTCCGTGGTGGAATGCCCCCGAAATTGCCATGGAAATGGAGAGTGCGTGTCTGGAACTTGCCATTGTTTTCCAGGATTTCTGGGTCCAGATTGTTCTAGAGGTATGCTGGTCAGATTGCGTTTCCTTAAGCCAGTATCAATGAGCCATAGCAACACCAGTAACGCAGGAAACGGCCCCGAGGGGAGGGGGGGGGGGCCCCGGCACCCGCTCGTCCCGGCCCCGCCTTGCCTTTCCCCGCCGGGCTGCAGATGCGCCGCTGACCCCGGGCCGTGTGTTACTCCGCAGCAGCGTGTCCCGTGCTGTGCAGCGGCAACGGGCAGTACTCCAAGGGCCGGTGCCTGTGCTTCAGCGGCTGGAAGGGCACCGAGTGCGACGTGCCCACCACGCAGTGTGTGGACCCGCAGTGCGGGGGCCGTGGGATCTGCATCATGGGCTCCTGCGCCTGCAACTCGGGGTACAAAGGAGAGAACTGTGAAGAAGGTAAACGTGTCACTGTTCACAGAAGCCCATTGTTACCTTCACGAAAAGACACAGATTAAATGCGTAACCTGCAGCGTGGCGGACGGGCCCTTTCACCGGCCGCCGTGTGAAAGTCATTTCGATTTCCATACCGAGGGATGCACTGTTTGCTCAGCACGTGAACTCAGACAGAGAACAAGTACCAGAGAGCCCTCTGCTCTTTTTCCATAATGTGAATAGTTCTTTTTTTTTTTCCACTCTGAGAAAGGAAGCAAACGTATGTCTTGACACCAACAGTAGACTGTTTTTTGAGGTGGTTTTTCTTTAAAACATTTTCGTATTGGTGCCAGCTTTTAAAGCGGGCATTTTGGCATCTCTGGAAAGACAGACGATTGAATAACTGAGTGGAAAAAAGTCTGACGTCATGGGTTTGTTCCACGCCGTGTACAGTGGTGAGAGTCAGGATACTACACTGTGAAGTGCAGTTGAGTTGTTTTTTCAAAAAGCAGAAAACCACCATTTCTGGCCTTCAATCAAATTGATTTTATTGATCCACACACACAAAGTAATACAATTAAGTCTCTGGAATTAAATTTTCAGGCCATTGACCCTACAAGTGTAAAGTTTTATTGAGTCCAATTGCTAAATTGAATCTCGTCATCTAAAGCACATTAAAGCGAATTAAGAAAGATAGAGAGTTTGCAACTCATTTATTTCTCAAGCAGTTCCAGGGGCCCATAGAGCTGTCAGCCTCAGTGGTGTGGGTTAGGTCAGCTGATCCAATTTTGTTATGGAGAAGCCAATACTTGTTACTCCCCAATTAGGCAGAACAGAGAGCAGTGGGCTAAGATCTCGAGAGCATATGCGTGTAATTCATGGAAATTAGCGATCCCCGCAAGAGTGTCAGTTACCTAAGTGGCATGATTCTCGGTGCTGTCTCCTAGAGTGCTTTGCATGTTCGGAAATAAGTTCTTGAAGACGTTAGGTATATATTAGAAGATCCAAAATGTTTATGCACATTAGGTTGGGACTTCACTCTTTATTCTGCATGTATGTATGATATCTTCTAGATTTAATCGTCAGATTGTTCTCTGCTCTTGACACTAGCTGACTGTCTAGACCCTGGCTGCTCAAACCACGGTGTGTGCATCCACGGGGAGTGTCACTGCAACCCAGGATGGGGTGGCAACAACTGTGAGATACTGAAGACCATGTGTCCAGACCAGTGCTCTGGCCACGGGACGTACCTTCAGGAAAGTGGCTCCTGCACCTGTGACCCAAATTGGACAGGCCCAGACTGCTCAAATGGTGAGGTCATAAATGTGGTACCCCGAAGTGCTTGCTAGGGTTTTGCTAAAGATTAAATTATTGTCATTTTTAAAACACGCTATAATTAAGTTTAATGTGGATTTTATTAAACTGATTGTTTATAGAAATATTAAAAGTAATGAAATCTGTTGTCTTGTAAAAAGAAAAGAAACAGGCCTAGTGAGTTTGTCGTTGCACTTTCTTTAGTGTCATTGTAAAGAAGGATCTTTCATTTCTGTGAAGCTCTTTGTCTTCTTAACTCTCAAGGCCTGTGGATAGCGTGGGGATCTAAGCACATGATCTCATAACAGAGAAGCCTCCATTAAAAATTATTTGACAATCGAAAGCTAAATATGATTATAGTAAAGGGTATACGTGCGTAGGTTGTACAGTGGTTCTGCACTGAGAGTTTAATTATAATGCAGGCATATCTCGGAGATATTGCGGGTTTATTTCCAGACCACCACAATAACGCGAGTATTGTAATAGAACGAGTTGTAGTCTTTTCACTGGTGGAAGATCTTGCCTTCAGTTTGTAAAAAAAAATGCAACATCGAAAAGGCAGGTAGTAATCTAGTTTGGCCCAGTTCCTACTCCTCGCCAGCTGCGTGTGTGGCGCTGTGCTAGGCCCTGTGGGGATAAACGAAGAATCATCCTGCCTGTAGGAGACTGGCTTTCACATTTCTGACCTAAATAACCTACAGTCTTAAATCCATTTTTACTCGTGACCTAGTATACATATTCATGCGTACGCTCACGTAACTGACGCAAGAGCTTTCCAAAGTGGTACACACTGATACCTTTTTACCAGCCTGTTCTACTTTTTTTTAAATTCTGGTTGCAACCCATGAATTAATTTCGTGGCCCGTTCATGAGTCCCGCAGTTTGAAAAGAGGCTGTTCTACTCTAGAAAATTACAGCATCGCTGGGGAGGTAAGGGGGACACACATGAAATACTTAGAAACCAGCACGTTCCAGTGTAAGTTTATTGAGTTTCACGTGGGAAAATTTGCTAAATTCAGTCAACACCCAGAGAGCAATGTTGCCTTGATGCATATTGAAAGTTTTCAGAGACTTTTATTAACACGCCTTACCTTCTTTTAAAGACTGTAGTGAGCGTAGGGGTGGGGAGGAATGCTTTTTGACCCTGGGAAACTATTAGAAAGTACGTAAGAGCATGAGCTCTGAAATCAGACGCTGGGTTCATATCCAGTCCCTACCGCTTAGCTGGGTAACGGCAGGCAAATGACCGTACGCTTCAGTCTGCTTACCTCTAAAATGGGTTTAATCATACGGCATTCTCCGCAGAGATGCTGTGGGAATTACCTGAAGTAGTGCACCTGCAGCACTTAGTACAGGGCTGAGCTCGTAATAAATCCTAAGTACAGTTACCAGCACCACTACTGTTAGCAAAGATCAACCGTGAGAATGCCCACGGGCACGGGACAGTGAGGTCAACGTGGGGCTGCGCCCAGTGGCGGGGGAAGAAGCAGTTTCCACATGAAGGCTTAGATCGTGGGGCGTTGGCTGGTGGTAGGGGTGTGCGCCCGCTCGCGTGGTGAGACCAGCGTTTTGGGACGGCCCTGGAGATACTGTGTAAGTGTCCGCGTATGAACAGGGAGGCGCTGGCGACCCGGAGGCAAGGCAGAGAGCTTTCCCCGAAGAGAGGCGAGCAGAGCGCGAATCGGTCTGTAGAAAGGAACAGGATAAATCCGAGGGACCCGTACAGGCAGAGCAGACAGGGCTTGCGAAGGAAACAGAGGTAGATGTTGGTGAGAAGAGCGGGCGGTCGGAAACAAGGAGGCCACGGTGTGCGTGATGGAGTCGGCAGGATGGCACGGTGGCCGTGGGGACGTGAGTGAGACGCAGAGGAGGTGACTTCTGCTCGGGTGCCCAGACTATCCGAGCAAAAGTAAATAATACCAAGAAGAGGAGGAAAACTGAGGAGGAAGGCGGGAAAGTGGAGGACGGGGCCTGGAAGAAGAGAGAAGCTTGGGTTAGGCCTGCGTGACTCCTGGAGCAAGTCGCCTCTGCTAGGGAAGGGGGAGTGACGCGGGAACCCATCGGGTCGGGTCGCAGGAGGCCTGGGACGCCTCACTAAAGAGCTTTCGGAAATCCTCGCCAGCCAGCACTTACCCGGCAGGGTGCGTGGCTTTATTTTAAATAACACACTAACTTGTTTTGTCAAACTCTGTTCTTCAAAATGCATTTTATAACGACAAGAATCAAAACAGGCACTTTAGTTATTGCTGTTGAGTTTTTATTTACATTTCCAGCTTTCGTACTAAAAGAAAAAAATGCATCCCACAAAGATATCCTCTTAAAGTTTATAGACATAATCACTTGTGCAGTAAAGCCGCTAGCTCGGGTCCCTTCTGCCGCTCTCAGTAAAGTAGGCATAATAATCCTGGTTATAAAGTAATACTTGTTTGAAATACGATCATTCTGATGTGTTTCTTGCAATCATACAAGTAAGAAAGGAACAGCAAAATAGCCCCTTTTTTGTTGCATATAAAGTTATTTAACATTACCTGCATTATTTTATAAAGGATAGTTTGTTGTTTGTTTATTTTTAATCCTCACTGGAGGATATTTTTCCCATTGCTTTTCAGAGAGAGTGGAAGGGAGAGAGAGAAACATTGATGTGAGAGAGACACGTTGATTGGTTGCCTCCCGCTCCCGCCCCGACGGCCTGGGGCCGAACGTGCAACCCAGGTACGTGCCCTTGGCTGGAATGGAACCCTGGACCCTTCAGTCCACGGGCTGACGACGCTCTAACCACTGAGCCAAACCCTTCAGGGCTGTAGTTTATATTAAATAACTCTGAAGACTATTCAGTCTTCTTCATAAAATGATATTGCTGCGAATAGCAAAAAAAGATATAAATGTTATTCAAAATTTTAAATTAGCTGCCACAATCACATATCATTATTTTACATATTTAGACTAATTAATTTTTATGCTGATGTGTAATTACTTATCTATTGGAAAATCTGACTTTTCCTTTATACAGAATGACTTCGTCCTGTTTGTCTCTATCTCCAGCACAAAGCAGAAACTTGACATATATTAAACTCTCAATCTATAGAGTTGAACAGTAAGGATAGTACTGTTTTTGGAGGAACGTAAGCACTGAATATACTTTGCTATTAGGCTGCAAAAAAAGACAGAAAACGTATTTAAAATTATTAGTAAAGATCTCAAACATGCATATACACATCCCGTGAAAATACTGGATTCATGTGCCTCAAATTTATCTACATGTTGCCCAGTTCTCAAAGTTTACGAAAACGTTAATTCATATTTGTGACTTAACATTTGCTAGCTGTATAATTCTGAATTTCTTACCGAATCCTAAAGCAAAACACTTCACCAGCTGCCTCTTCTGCAGTTGTGAAACAACCTTCAGATATCTGAGTCCAATAAGAGAGTAGACTTTACAGCCAAAGAAACATTTGGTGAAGCTGCTGAAAGAGAAGAAATGAATTATTTCCGTCAGAAAGTTTATGGTGTGAAAGCAATAGAACTTTCCTCTATCTTCATCAGCAGTTTGCCCATTAATTAGCCCTCCAATTCCACTGCAATTAAATTATCTCTAATTAATAAGTTCATTACAAAGATCGACGCACCTTGCTCAAAGCTAGTGTGCTAGACGCTGATAAACACCTTCGCCCTAATGAAACATCGATTAGATGGAAGAAAGAAACCTCTCTCTTCTGGAGCCAAGTTGACGTTCTGTTCCTGTGAAGTTAATCAAACCACCTTAGATCTCTTAATCAAAAATTTAATTCAAACGAGATAGAAAATGCGGCATGAGAAGCCGTGGCCCGCTCTCCTCCAGTTAATAGTCCTGGCTGTTGTTCATAAGAAATGTTACAACTCTCACGGTGCCTTGAGAGGGTGTTAAAAATTCAGCAGCACTTTGAGACAGAGAAGGACAGTGTCTGAGAAATGTTATTCGGGCAAAGAATGGGGAAAATAGGAACATGGGACTACATGAAGTTACCATTTTTTTAATTTAAGAATAAGGCTTGTAGTCCACTTTCTGTTTGTTTGAAATGATTTCAGGGTTTTAGTGTTCAGCATTTTTAGTGCAAGAAAACCAAAACTAAACAACAGTCTTTCAATCTTAGAGAAAAGTGATAATTTTATTTAACTTGTAAAAAATAAAACACCCTTCCAAGTTGTCTCTCTGTGCCTCTCCCTCAATTGGATCTAGTAAAAGAAAGCTTTTTAAGAAAAAAACAATTACTTCTGACACCTGAATTCTTTTTTAAAAACCTAACCTACGATTATAGTTTTAAGTCTCTTGTGCTCCTTTCAGTAATTCCAGTCATTGAAAACCTTGTTTTTGAAACGACATAGTCAGTAGGTATGTGATTAACCTGCTTTTCCACTTTGGTTTTGCTAAGCAGCTTTTATCTGTCAACAATACAGATTCACTGAAAAGGGAAACGCAATTTCTTCTGTTTACCCAGCACGCCTGTGCTTCACAAGCAAGCTAGTGTGCACACAATGCTCGATGCTTTTTAATAAAAGTTTCCGAATATTTTTAAATTTTAAACTGGAGGATTAGAAATAGCACCTTTTCCATTCTTGCTGTAGGGGTGAAGCCCAGCTGCTGTTCGTCGCCTGTTAAACCCTGAAATAATTCACTAATTTAATATTAATTTGATGTAGTAACACGTGTGCGTGCGTCCTTGACTATCCAAAGATACTCTCAGATACATATGTGTGTGCGCACATGTTTGTGCATTTTCCTCTCTTTATGAATCGTGTTTTTATTGGTAGCCCGTGTGCCACATGTGTCTACATACATAGACAATTATTATAACAAAATTGTCATGTGTATTTCACGCACAATTGTATAATATAGACAATTATTTATAACAAAATTGTTATGTGTATTTCACGCACAATTGTATAATATAGACAATTATTTATAACAAAGTTGTCGTGTGTATTTCACGCACAATTAGTGCAGCATATAAGATTAAATAATGAACGAAAAAGTGACCTTCTACCGTTTATATTCTTAGTGGTGGACTCTGAATTCATTTAGTGTATAAATACTCGTGATTTGTTTCCAGTGACTGTTTTTCACTTTCACAAGGCCTATTCATTCCCCTTCTCACTGCCTGCTGCTCTTCTCTCCTGCCCCAACTCCCCTTTCTCGATATAGAAATATGCTCCGTGGACTGCGGCGCCCACGGTGTGTGCATGGGAGGCACATGTCGCTGTGAAGAAGGCTGGACAGGCCCGGCGTGCAACCAGAGAGCCTGCCACCCTCGCTGCACGGAGCACGGGACCTGCAAGGACGGCAAGTGTGAATGCAGCCAGGGCTGGAATGGCGAGCACTGCACCATCGGTAGGCCAGCCCCTCTGTGCCCCTCCCCGTGCCACGAAAGAGCTCGTGTTTGCTGGCTTTCTACTTTAAAAAGCAGCAAACAGGACAAGCCAATGCACACTCATAGACACAGACAACGGTGGTGGTTACCAGAGGGAAAGGGGTTGGCGGAGGTGGTAAAGGGGGTCAGATATATGGTGGTAGAGAAGTTTTGACTTTGGGAGGTGAACACACAGGCAATATACAGATGGCGTATTATAGAATTGTACACTTGAAACCTTTATAATTTTATTAGCCAATGTCGCCCCGATACATTTAATAATTTTTTTTATTTTAATTGCAAAAAAGAAAGAAAAGCTAGTATCTTCTCATTAATTTTTAGCCATCTTTATTAAAGAGGAATTAGGTTTTTTTGTTGTCTTTTTAAATATATTTTTTATTGATTTCAGAGAGAGGAAGGGGAAGGGGGAGAGAGAGAGAGAGAGAAACATCAATGCTGAGAGAGTCATTGATCGGCTGCCTCCTGCATGCCCCCTGCTGGGGATCAAGCCCACAACCCAGGCATGTGCCCTGGCCAGGAATTGAAGTGCGATCTCCTGGATCAGGTCGATGCTCAACCGTTGAGCCACACTGGCCGGGCAGGAATTGTTTTTTAAGTAAGATTATCACTTACAATGGCAATTTAGTTCTTTTTAGAATAACTGACATCCGTATGAAGTATAAGGAATTTTTATTCATTGTTGTTTGTGGTGGCTACAAAAATTGATGCACATAAAGATGATTTCATTTCTTACCTATAAATAAGCTTTCATTGGACATTACTTTTTAATATTCCATCTTGCCATTGCATAACCAAAACAAAAATTTTATTTTTTAAAAATGTCTAAATCTGTGGCCTTTCTGGCTTCTATAGATTCCAGAATTACACATCTTTGCACTTGTCAGTTACCTAGTACCCACATCTTCAAGGTATTCAGTGCCTTTTTTTGCTTTTACCATTTGAGTCACTCAACTGAAAACATTTAATTAAAGAAAATACAGCAAAAATTAGTTCAGCTGACCCTTGAACAACATGGGTTTGAACTGTGCAGGTAACTGGTATGTGGATATTTTTCAATAAATCCTTATACTGTCTGATCCATGGTTGGGCGTCTGTGGATGCAGAGGGCCGGATGTATGCATTGATCTACACAGTTTTAGAAGGGGACAGGAGCATTGAAGAGTTTGGTATCTGTGGAGGGTCTTGGAACCAATCCTTCTTGGATACTGAGGGACAACTCAAGTTTTAGGGAGTCAGGAGTTATATGTGTATTTTTGTCTGTGCGGGGTCGGAGCCCCTAAGCCAGGCATTATTCAAGGGTCAACTGTAATCAGTTTCTGCCTCGCTTCAATGAAAGTGTACAGTATTCATTATAAATGGCACAGTCCTGCAGAAATTTCGTCATTTGAGGTAGTGTTTCTCCACATCGTTTTATGTCTGTAGGATAAAATTCGATAAAGCTTTCAGGGGGTGTCTTGGTATCTAAAGCAGTTTCTTCTTCCAGGTGCACCTGTAAGTATTACGTCTTTCGCTTTTTTTGCTTGCAGGAATTGGTCAGCCAGGAATTTTTCCATGGGAAAATTGCAATCACATACAGTGTATAAACTGTCACAGTTGTGTCTTTATAAAACGTCATGAGGCTCTTTCTGATCGTGCTGACACCCCTGACATTTGTTTCAAGGATCCCACTACCGCCCCCACATACGGTTGAACCAACTAGCCGAGGTCACAGGACCCAGGGAGGCTCTACTCACGGCCATATAGTTACCAGAAAGGGACATGAGTTAGCAGGGGGTATCGGGAAGCCCACACACAGATGTCCTGTGTTCTTCCTGCCCCAGGAGAGGTCACATACAGCGTGCCTCTCTCCAGTAATGACATGCGTCAACCTGTGCCGTTTTTCTGCCCAGTGAAGCCCCTTGGAGACTCCGAGAGTTAAGGTTTTGATCGGGGCTGCTCCGACAGGTAGTCTCTGTCGGCTACGACAAAACCACCAAAATTCCAGGCTCTCCGAAGAAAAGCAGGTGTTTAGGGCTTCGGGTGTGCAAATTAACCTTATCGGTGTAAGAAACATCCAGCTCTCCAGATGCCAGCCAAGGCCAGCCCAGCAGACTTCTAAAGGTCGGGCTCGTTACGTTGCCTCTTACCTGAGAAACATCCTCAGGGTTTCCCTTGTCCAGTGTGCTTACTGCCCAAACCTGGGGACACGTGTTGTTCTAACGAGATCGACGGCAAATGCATACTCACAGCACTTGCGGGGCACTCGCTCACCCCCACCGTGTTGTGTGGTTTTCCCCGCCACTCCTCTCCGAGAGAGGCCCCGCAGGGCAGTGGCTTCCTGGGGTTCATGGGATCCGCGTTAAGGCAGAGAAAAGTTGACAACCACAGTTTGTGTATCTTCCTGTGGGCACGCAGAGGACAGTGTGATACCCCGTGACCTAACAGCTCCATGCCCAAATTCCAGAATGCCTGTCTACCCGAGGAGGGCAGGAAAGGGCTCTGATCACACCCGCTCTTATCTTATAACCCCACCCACTCCATAGCCAGCCAGCAGTGAACTGATTCTAGTCGGGGGGGAGGGGGGGGCAGTTTACATACTTGACTGCATGTATGTATCCCAGGAAGTACAACAAAACACACGTGTACCTAGCTTAGAAAACCAAGACGTGCACTATAAAGTTAATAGGTATAAAGTTAATGGGCAGATTTAACTTGCCAATCAACAGTTACTGAATCCTACTGTGGTTCTCACTGACCTTGGCAATATTTCATGGTTCGTTTCTCCCCCTTGGGCTGTTCTTGAGCAACTTCTCAGTTGTGTGGGCAACAGAGGGGTTTTTGTTCTATGCAGCATGTCTTGCTGTGGTGCTAAGGATTCCATTTCTGCCGCTGCATTTAATTTTGCAGCTTTTTGTCCGTATAAGTAACAATGTGGAAATGAAGGGCCTGTCTTGTTTAAAAATAAATCCTAGAAGTGAACCTTTTTAAAGATGTAGGGAACCTTTAAACCATTGTTTTTGCTCTTTTGTGTGATTAGAGCTGTTGCTCCAGATCTTGGCACACAGAGATCCCACTGGCTTTCCCCGTCTGCTCGCTACCTGCGTATCTGGCCACGGGACGCCTCGGGGCCCGTCTTCAAGGCGGCCTTTGTGAGGCCCTAATTAAACAGCCCAGGGAACCACGCGTGTCCTCACATTCCCCGTGGTTACTGCGCTGTGCGTTTCCTCCATTTCAGCGCTCAGGCACCTGACTGGAAGCAGCTGCCACTTTAGGAGAGAATATTCATAAATCAGCAAGGTGTTTTTTCTTTTTCTGTATTATGTGCCATCTCATTGAATACAAGCAGGGAGGTTAATTGAAAAAGCAGTGGAGAAATTAAACAGAAGCAGACAAGTTCCCAATAGAAAGCAAAGAATATTCTCCATTAGTCTTCATACTATTTTCATAGCTGTTTATAAAACCGTAGGCATTTTGGTGGTGAAATAGGTTGTGGATCTAGAGTATTCACTGAGCACACCGCCCACCTGGAAGGATCCCGTCCTGACAGTTTTCTTGGTGTGTTCGTATTTCCCCCCCCATGATGAATCACCTCTTCGGGAAATTAGGCATATTCGTCCTCAGGTTCATTGTCCCCAAGATCTTCATCCTCTGGGTTAGACTTTGACTCGAGACGTATGCAGATGGGAAATGAAACACAGGAAAGCCTACTTTTAGCAGTATTACAAATAAAATAAATATCTCTTCCTTCCTCCCCAGAGAAGCATTTATGATTGTTGGATCCTTTCATAAAGAATACGTTACATGATTGAACCACATCAAATAAGCACCCGCAGTTATTACCGACATAGTTTAACAGGCCTAGCGCTGTTCCCGATGCTCAGATACCATATGCTTCACCCTTTGTATGCGACCATTCCACTAAAGGGTCAAATGGTTATCACGCCCATGTTCCTGCCTCTGTTCTTCATGAATAGGAAAGATGTCAGAACACTTAGAGGATCCAAAAGCAAGTTAAAAAATATGAAATATAATTAAGTGGTTTATAAATGATAGTTGGTATAAATTGGAATATTGTATGGCTGACTTTATATTTAAAAAAACTTAAACAGATTCATATTGTGAGAGTTGAGGTACATGAGGGGGAAATCCGTGAGCTGGGTGACTCTTGCCTTGGCCTAACTCAGTAAGTTCACTATGAATGTATTGAACTGGAACCAGACTCTGTAATCACGTCAGGGCAACTCTTTTCTTGTTTCGCAAAAGAGGGGAAAACTGCTTATCCAGTTGGCCTGGGGCTGGAGTTGTTTGGCCTGTGACTAAAGTTGATGGGCCTGTGGCTGGAGTTGATTGGCTGTGACTGGAGTTGGTTGGCCTGTGGGTAGAGTTGATTCACCACATAAACAATGTGAATGTCATGCGGGATTCTGATGAACAGATGTGTGTAAGTAGAATCCATAACTTTTCCATGAAATGCTAACAATATCCTGGGCAATGATAAATCCCAAGTGCCAAATTTTGAGTATTACTAACCTGTAGCTTCCCCAAGAACTGTTCTTTTTAGCATTTGCTGAAAAATTTGCCCCTTCAGCCATCCATTTGTTTCTATGAGCATTAGAGGCGGTAGGTAAGATCGGACCTGCAGGGAAAGAGGGTGGAGATGGAGCCACACATTTGATTGTTACCTACTCACCAGGGAGGGTTGTTAGGAAGGTAAAGAAGCGCAAGTCTTGGCAGAGGGAGAAATGGTTTTCTGGAGGCTGATTGACATTTTCCATTTCACCACAGACAGAAATGGAGAAAATGGGTTTAATTGTTTAAATGTTGGTTAGAGAGAATGCAGAACCTTAGGTTAGAGAACATTTAAATCCTGGATCAAGATCCCAAAGAAATTTTTGCATCTCCACTCCAGTAAGCTTTAGCAGTGCCACGTTATTTAGGCGTGAAATGTGGAGGGTCTGTATGTCCTTTTTGTCAGTTTGTT